ATATGTTGTGTTTACCTTTTTTCAAAGATACCCAGAAGAAGAAAAAGATGTATCGATACCTCAGATTCCCCTTAAATGAAAGGTGCATGTAATGTGCTGAACAATTCAGCATGCATGTGAGCTCGTCGAGTCAGAGCACTGAAAACGCATTCGACCACCATGCAATGTACATCAATGTACATCAATGCCGTGCACAAACTTGGAAACATGTGGTCAAATGGAGAAAACAATTCGTTGGTTGGTGGTCAACTTGGTCCATGGGAGATGTTCAACTTTCAGAAGGTGGTCACACTCCATGGTGCGTCCACTGTTTGGGGAAAACACGATCCAGCATACGCCCCGGAGCCCAGATTCTATGTCTATGCATAGCGCCAGGACCCACTAGGCTTGAGATCCAGTGGTTTTGTGTAGAGTGTAGGAACTCCTGGGCCATTTAATTAATTATACGCATATAATATTATAGTAGATATAGAATTGTTCTGACCTCACCTCTTTGTTCGACGGATGTGTTGCATATGTTCAATCATACGCAAAATATCATGAGGCATTCACCTCTCGGAATCAACAAAAAGGATGGACTGCATCAGGGAAATTCACCTCTCGGCTCCAAGTGAAATGTTCACTTCACCTCTCAGAAGTCTCGTCCGCTGCCCGCTGCAGTCGTCCGTTTCGCGCAGGCTGGTCGATTGGTATGGATCCGAACACTGAGGAGGACTGTCTTCGGTCTTTGCTCGGTTGAAGGTGGTGCACCAGTCGGGACTGGGACTGGTTGACTACTACTTGTGAGTGGTTTTGTAGGGGGGAAAGGACAGCTAAATTGATAGAGATTCGGCTTTGGGATGTCATAAGACTTTTGGACCAACAAAGATCCATAATTGGATGATTTGGGGAAGCAGGGCAAATCTATCGTGATCTCAAGATTTAACGCTGATGACCTCGAAACTGTTCATATATCGAAGAAACCCAACATAGCCCTGAGGGCAATGGGCCATGCAATGACTAGAAACCAAAAGAACTTTTTGGATTCAGCTTGGCCCAGCCAACTCATGTAGGCTGCATGTCTTGACTGCAATTGCCGGGTTTGCACCTTACATGCATTTTCCCGGCGATGTCCAAACACTCAATCCGGCCCTGAGAACCCACCAGTTTGAGATTCCGTTTCTGCGGCTTCCAATTTATCTTCGACCTATGTTCACCATCTGTATCCCATACAGATCCATACAGATCCTATTCCCATACAGATCCATACAGCTCCACACAGATCCTAGCCGCTCCTCCCAGACCTTCCAGGATCCAATGGCCTTCCTGGGGCCCTCCACTGCCCGCGATCCCTGTTCCCGATCGCCCCTCGCCGCACACGGTTAAGCGACGGTGAAGCGACGGAAGCGCCGGTTGGGTGGTTGGGTGGAACGAACCGTAGAACGGTGGTTGGTTGGTTTGCGTGATGAGCCACGTGTGACTCCATGTCGCCTGTTGTGTCATAAGTCACATGGAATACGGTCATAAGTCACATGGATGGGAGAGGATTCCAGGATGAATAGAGTACAATGAGTACAATGATCACTGTGAGTGCGTGTGTAGGAAATGTTTCAGAAAAACTCTTTGTGAGCTTTTCTAACAACACGGAGAACGTTTTTGTTTTTGCTGCCCTTCTAGGCACCTCGACTATATAAACAAGAATGCAGCTGGTGTTTCAATCCCAAAGTATGAAACCCTTTATCCTCATGTTCATAGCTCTGGCAGTCTAGGTTGTGACTCACATCCGCACGCATAGCCAAAGACCAAAGACCCTGGATATGGTTGCTCATGATTGCCTCTGGAACAGGTGGGTGTGGATCTACCGTCAACGAAACCTTGGCTCGTAACTAACATGTACAGTCCTCCTTTTCTTCCTTACCTATGCCTTCCGACTTCCCTTGGACAACTACTTCTCCCAGGCCGTCTTGAATGTTCAGTGACCGTTTCAACGAGTACAACATCGAGACATGGCCTCATACGCAAGCGTACTGCCCGCACCGCGTGTTGCACTCGCCAGGTATGCGCAGCACTGGGAGGTCATTAACTCAGCCACTTGAGAGAAGTGCACCTTCTATCTATAATGATAGGGCGATAGGAAGGCTGTGCCTTGAATCAATGTGTGTGCTTTTGCTTTATGTCATGATGTGGGATTTGTAAATCCAATGAAGAAATGGATGCATTCAGAGGATGACTCACTTCTTCGATGCCCCGCTTTGGACCGATTCGAATGCAGCAGTTCTGTCACTTCACATCGGTGGACCCCTTCTTCAGAACGCTTCGAGGTGCTGGTGCCCTTGAGGATTAGTGGCTCCATGATCCCAACCAAGAGCTGGATCATGTCTGGAGGCCAAGTGGAGCAAAAACGGGCGAGAAACCAGTCCAAACTGATCCCAAAGGGCGAGGATGTGCCCCAGGACAGTGTGGAGATGGGCGGACGGTTTGGTGTGGGGACTGACTGAAGGGTTGTAAATAGCTAATAACTGCAGCTTGTGAAGCTGCTTCAAGGTTGAGTTCTCAGCCTTCCAGCTACTTCAACCGCTGGGTTTTGATATTACTAAAACATATTATGTGTTCACCTGGTTCGGATAAATCGTAAGCAAGCACTCCACTGGGCCATGATAGATTGATTGACCAACCTAAGGTAGTCCATGCTGGGCCCCCCCAGCTAGTTGTCTTGCGACTGCAAGTCACTTTGCCACTTCGCCTAGTGGTGTTCATTGGGGTCATCCATCAACCAAGTTGTTTCCACAATTGAATCTTTGGCTCGTGCGCCACCAGAGACCACGCGCCACACACCCGGCCGCGGTCGTGCGAGCGGGTCCGAGGTCCCTCAAGAGAATACAGAAGACTGAATGACATGGGCACCGGCTCCGCCGAGTCCATCCTCTCCGACAGCGGCATGCATTTGTAGATCATTTGTGAAGACTCGGCTGTGTTGGAAGACTCCATGATTCACAAACAGGAGCACGGAGCACGTCTATTGTCGACCATATAAAAACATATTTACAATGTATATTTGCGATATTTGGGTTGAGTTTTTGGGTGTTGTGCCTTACTTTTATTGTAAAGGAGATTCCGAACCACACTCAAATTGGGGCGATCGCGATCTCGGATGATGTTTCCCAAGACGCTTCGCTGGACCGACTGGGCAGATCATGTGACTTTGCGCCATGGGATCCGAACTGCAGAACCCAGTGACTTCTTCTGAGGGAAACATGCTAAGATCATGCAACAAACCTGAATCTACTGAATGTCATCTCAGTTAAGGAAACGTCCAATGGGCCATTGAGATGCCATGAGTAACCAACGGTGACCAACGGTGCGGCATGGATTTGCGGTTTCTGACTCCTTTTCAAGCATCCTTGGAACACAAGTGGTGAACCGGTGAAAATTTGCTGTAATGACAAAAATGAATGAGCTCAAGGCTCAAGGTAACCGCGAAATGCAGGCGCACGGAAAAGGGTGGGTTTCACCCGCGGTGGTGACTGCGGTTCTGGGTGGTCGCTAAAGGCAACTGCTTATGACAAAGACGTGGGTTCCACATCTTAGGAGATGTGGCTTTCCAACGCATGCTCACCACATGCTGCATATTTACAGCATCAACCAGTTTTTTGTTTCAGAAATGGAGAAGGCCTTTGGTTGGTAGTTCGGTATAGGATGCATCTCCAAGCAGATAAGTCTTGTTCACAAAACAGGCTATTGGTGTCTTTTTTTGTGTTGTATTTGTGGTCGCTAATTATAGTGTTATAGAGAAATGAACCCGGACCTGGAAAGCCGAAGATGGGGTGTTTTGTAGCTTGATGGATCTTCAGATTGTTGGCTTTTGTGGCCGTTCAGCATCAATCCATCACCCTGACAGTGGTCTATCCTCATCCTTTTCGAATCAGTGGACGTAACTGCAGCCCTTTGCTCAACAACCAACGACAACCAAAGCAAGATGGATGCCCAGAGATGCTGAGAAGTGGAACTCATCTCCCACAAAGGCCGCTGGATGAGCAGCGACACGGCCCGTTGGCGTCGTTTAAAACCCTCGGAAAAAGAGAAGCGCAGCTGTTCAAGAGCTGGGGGAGGGCGTGGTTGGACCAGCACGTAGGCCCAAACAGCAAGCCATGTTGCTTCAAGTGGCGTAGTCTTGTTGTTGTGATGGTTTTCTACTTGGTATATATAACTAATTACTACGTAGCTGTTTGCCTTCGGATCGTTGGGAACGGAGCGTGAGATGGGTGTTCTTATAGACATGTTGCTGTGTGAGGGCTTCTTAGAGCCTGATCACGGGGACAGTGGTTCCCCCCTGTGTTTGGAACAAGTATGTCTTGTATTGGCATGGCGACAGAAAGCCGACTCGGGAGGACTTAAGCTGACTCAAGAGGACTTAAGCTGACTTCGACGTGAAACTAAAGCACAATTCAATGGCAACACTAATATAGAGATCGATATGTAGAGCCTGACAGGGTGTGTGGCGACTTGGGCTTTCACGTTGGCTCTTGACTGTAGCAGTTTTCCACCTCAAGATACAGCTACACCAGAAGTGAACACATTGTTTTCCAAATGCCAATCCTATCAGATCACTGTCGCTATCAGGTTAACATTGAACATGTGCAGTCGATCATGCTACAATCCCTTCAGATTTGCTCGTCTCCACACCAGGGAACTATATACAGAGCTGTTTGATTAACAATGCGTTGTCTTGAGTCTTGAGTCTTGAGGTAGTCTTTTGGGGTTATTTTCAGATTCTATTTTACGGATTCAATTTCAACCACATATCGATTTTCAATTACGAGTTTTACACCACATGTGGGGTTAGTCCCCCGCTAACCACTGCTGATGTTTGTTTGCTATACTTCCGTGATGTTTGCATTTTCTCGGGTTCGCAACCATCAATCCTTGCAATCCTTGCCCTGATTCAATCTCCATCCAAAGGCCCTAGAGGACCACTATTGAAAGACCTGCAAGACAAGGATGGCCCAATGTATTGCCCTCTAGAGGCCCTGTATTCAGACCTTGAGGGCAACAATGGCCTTCCAGACCATGCCTTGACCGGCTCGGCCATGTTGCGTCGTTGTCGCCGCCGCTGGCTGTTGCCTTTGGCCGTCGCCATCGCTGGCTTGGGCAGCTGTAGCTTTGTGTCTGGGTGCCTCGGCGATGGTGAAAACCAATTGTTTCTTTTTCCCATCAGTAAGAGGAATCTCACTAGTGGGGGTTTCCCTGATCTAGTGAGGCTTAGACCTCAAGGCGCGCTCTCAGGGGAAGAACATAGCGGGGTAAACCCCTGATCTTTGTAATCATCATCATGATAGTTGGTCAAAGCTGATCTTTTGGTTTGCAGTGTTATGTTTGCATTAACATCATCCACTGTAGACCCGTTGGTCGGTTGTTGGGCAGGACTTCTTATGGGAAGCCAGAAGGAAGCTTCGGTTTTGGACGAATCCTCATCCGGGGATAGCTGAAGAATGCAGATATCGGATGGGCTGTCGATTGGGTTGCAAGGGAGTCTACCAAAGCTCGAGGAAAATCTTTCAAGACCTGGAAGCTGTGTACTATGGGAACCCTGTTCATTTGACATTCACCTACGTTTACCTATTAGGTAACTCTATGGCGGGATTTTGTCCATCCACCGTCGGTAAGACCAGAGATGTTGCCTTTGTTGCGCTGGTATGCCGGTTGAGCGCATGGATTGAGACTCGGATTTTGTTGCCCACCTCATTCTGCATTGTTGTCAGGAAGCCAACAACTAAATTGCAGGCTCTTCAGAGTAGTAGATGGCACAGATCAAAGCGTTGGTGATGTTTCAACATGAGCCGCTCGTCCAATTCTTGAAGGACCTAAAAGCCACTCATGTGGGGCACACTGGAGAAAAATGATGACGTCGATGGCTTTGCAGTGACAACTCTCCCAGTTGCTTGCCGCTGCTGGTGCTTTGAAACAGAGCTGGCAGAACTAACCGAGACTCTCAAGAAGCAGAGCCGGAACTTTGACTATACTTACTATAAGAATAGCCCAACGGGTCTTGGAAATCCATTATAGTTAAGGGGGGGGTAGTCCGACGGACTCCACCAAGCCTTAGTCCTTAGTCCACGGAGTCCGGAATTGGAGCGCTCTCCTTCCGCAAATAAGTGTCACAGGGAAATCGGCAGGAGCCAACTCTACTGGTCACCCGTTTTTCTAGCGAGGAGAGATGATTTGATGGGTCCAACTCTTCAGGAAAAAGAGCTGGAAATAAGTCAGTGCTGGATTGTCAGTATACCGGTCGGCCATAGGCAGGACCATAGGAGCAGTCAGTATATCAGCAGTAGAAGAGCTGGTTCAGCACAAAACCGTTCGGCACAGCAGTCGGCGTCACCCCGAGGTGTCCCAACCGCCGGCGTGACGCGCCGTGCGGGATTTTCAGGTGCGGGCACCCGGTCGCATTCGAGCCCACATCATGTGTGTTGTTTAACGCTGTTTCCACATCATGTGCGCATGGACCTGCAGCCTGAGACATGAAACATCATGAACCCCGTGACCCATCATGACTCCCTCATGATTCCCTCATGACCGTTCCTCACTGACGAGACGTCGCGGCGCCCCAGCAGCTGGGGCTCCGCTCCCGAGGCGTGCGGTGAAGGACCCATGGAGCGTCCTGGAGTTGGAGCGCGGTGCCTCCAGGGATGAAGTGAAGCGGGCTCCTCCGTCAGCACTGAAGTGAGTTCTGTGCGCGCACGTGCCGTGGACGGACCAGTGGCTGAATCCGCACTGAATCCGCAGGGCTTCCGCACTGAAGACGCACCGGATATGGACGTTGGACGTACCGACCAAGCACCGACGAGACTGGGCGACCGCGAGACCGGCGAGACCAGTTGTTGCCCGTGCTGCGCCAAGGGGGTTTGCTCCAGTGCAGGATTGGTGACCATCAAGGGTACGGTAACCGTGGCGTTTGTTTCAGGCATACACCAAACAGGTGGCAAGTTGGGACTGTTGCAGTAATTGTTATGCATTGATACTTCATTCTTGCAACTGCGAGATAACCACAAGGTCGGAGCACCCGGTCGGTCAGAAATATTTGTTGAGAGTCCCGGTGCTGAGTTGCTTTCCCCCCCAAAAAGAAGCACCGCGGACCCGATGGCTCGATCAATCGGTCGCTGTGAACTGCCGCGCTCCGCACTGCGCACTGTGCGCCGCGCCGGAGGCCTTCCGAGAGAAGATCCGCAGGGCGCACCCCGACGCTGGCGGCAGCGCTCAGGAGTTCAACGAGGTGCAGACGACCACCGCGGCGCCTTTGTTCGACTCGACAGCCGAAACTGGGTCACTATAGAGAGTCCATAGTGGATGCGTATAGACCATTGGGATGAGAAAACCATAAAAATCTCATGTTTGCAGGTGTTGATCGTTCAAGTCAGGCACATTGTGTAGAGATGTCTTAGCCTTTCAGCGTGTTGGTGTAGCACCAAAGAGAAACACGCCTGGTGTGGTTGTCAGAAAAAGAAGGACACGGACATGTGAAGCATGCACTAGTGGTGTCATGCTCGTCGAGCCACGCATATTTGGATCGGTACCCTTGTATATGTTTGAAACGTTTGGATGTTCCCTTTGCCAATTCAGAATTTATCAAGCCACCAAGCCATCGACAGCTCTTTCGTAATTTTACTCTCTTGGTGGTATCCCATGGAGGGTCAACCTACAAACTGGGGAAGAAATTGATCTATGAAATCCATTTTCACAAGCCAGGTCCGTGAAGCCTACCAAGCAGCGCTTATGGAAGCTGGCCATAGCAGTAGCGCTGCGGGTAGCACAGGGGTAGCAGCTGGGAGGAGTTCCACACGTCGATGGAACTTGAGTGACGCTTGGGCCCACAATTGAGTGAGTCAGCATTGTGTTTGGGTGTGTGGTTTCAATTCTGTGACAGGCAACTACAGGATCCACACCAATTTTGAATCAAGTTGCGCTGTTGAAGATCATGAGACTCTGTTGGGCTTCAGCTTGTGTTGGGCTTCGCTCTTCCCAGGAATGACATGTTGGTCCAACTCGTGAACATCTCCAATCTCCAGCCCGTTCACCAGCTCCGACCCACTTGCAGGTATTTTTGGATCAATTGCTCGTCATGGGAGAGTGGGAGGTGCATTCACAGCATATTCACAAGGGTTTTCCTCGGTGGCCCACCTGATTGTTTGAACTAGACTGATGGAGTATGCAGGGACACTCACGGGCGTTGATCAGCTCTGTTTGTCGTCCAATCACGTGGAGGACGCGCGACTAAGGACTTCTACAAATGGCGACGCGAACAGGTACAGCAGCAAAAGGTGGAGTGGGAGAAGGTCTGGTCGGAAAGCGCAGTGGTCGGGCTTCCAGGTAGTGAATACTTGCGCGGACCCTGCTTAGATAAGCTTGGCTAAGCCTAGCTTTGACCTATAAGAGTTAGTAAGTCTTAGCTAGGACTTAGCTAAGTCTGAGCTAAGTCGGACTTAGGCATGCGACTTAGCTTCGACTTAGCTTTGACTTAGCTCGGACTTAGCAAACTTAGCTAAGTCGGCTAAGTCTAAGTCGGCTAAGTGGGCTAAGTCTACGTTGGCTAAGTCGGCTAAATCTATAGGGGATAGGTTGGCTAAGTCCTGGCTAAGAACGATCGAAGAACAAGCGAGCAGCAATTAATGCGAAAAGCAAGCAACTGGAAATGACAGCGGCCAGGCCGCGCAGCGACAGGTCATTTTTCGCGACACTTGAAAAGACAGTTTACAGTCAGACAGTCAGTGTCAGACTATTTTCTGACAGCCTTTTCCTTTTAAAGTAGTCTACGGTCAGAAAGTGTCAGAATTTTTTCTGACAGTCTTTCCTTTTAATGTAATCTACGGTCAGAAAGTGTCAGAATTTTTTCTGACAGCCTTTTCCTTTTAAGGTAATCTACGGCAGAAAGTGTGAGATTTTGTCTGACACATTTTCCTTGTAGTCTACGGCCAAACTTAGCCGACTTAGCGGACTTGGCCGACTTAGCGGACTTAGCGGATTTAGCCGACTTAGCTGACTTAGCTTAGCTTCAACTTAGCTTTGACTTCCTTTTAACTTAGCTTCGACTTAACCGACTTAGCCAACTTGGCCCTAAGTCGAAGCTAACTCTCCTAAGTTGGCTAGGCCCCGGCCTAAGTGCTTACTAACCTTTATATCTCTTACCAAGTCAAAGCTAAGTCAGCTAAGTGACTTACATAAGATATGGGACTTCTAACCTAGGTTATAACTAGGTTAGGGTAGGTTATAACCGGTTATGAGTTAAAGTTAGAGCAGGTCCGCGCAAGTAGGCTCAATCACAGAAACATAATAGTATAGTGAATGAAGGTTTTTCGGATGATACCTTCTCAAATCCTTCTCCGAATGAAGATGTTTGTGGCCAATCAGTACATCCGAATCCAAGCCAACCCTGGAGCCCTTTGGAAAAGACAAGCCAACCGGTCCGGACCGGATGGCAGGATGCTGATTTCCGTCAGCAGCATTGGTGGACCTCAGCCGAGCAGCGACGGCAGCAAAAGCAACAAGCGCAGACCATGGACGAGGCGCGGAAGCCGCACAGCGGAGTCCTGGCGGAGGTTGCCAGCATTGCTTTGAGTTCTTTCTAAGTGAGTGAACAAATCTGTGTATACTGTATACTCATTTATAGTCAGCTTCTAAGCACATGTAGAGTTTGTCGGAGTCCTTTTTGGTGGGGCTGGCTGGGTTCATTCATTCCATAAGCTGGCGCAAGGTCGAGTGGCGACCGCAGCGAGATCAACTAATTACTGTGAAGAGTTTGTATGGCTTTTGACACATGACAAGAGTTCCAGTGACTTGAGTTACTCTAAATTTTGCTGACAAGCATTTTGCTGACCAACCCACACCCACCACGCACACCACCCATCAACAAGGATCACATCCATGACCTCCAGGCCTTCCATTCAATTTGGCTTTCCCCAGCTTCTAAGATTCTCCAACTACTAACCGGGCAACCAAAAGACAATGATTAAGTTTAAAGTATAGTTTAAAGTATATAATTATATACTGTATATATAATTACATAGATTTTAAAATAGTACATGTATAACTGTATAAATATATATAATATGGATCATCATGCATCCTATATACCTGGGGCCCTTTTGGTGGTACTCTTTCATCAGCTTACCAGAGTTCACCCATCGCCAGGAGCAAGTGCGCGTACAGGCGGCAGGGCGCGCTCGGTCGCCTCGGAGCGGAGCCCGGAACGCGCAGTCGACCCAGGCAGCTGCCAGGTCCAGGCAGTGCGGGACTGGAGGTGACTAGACTGGTTTGAGGTGTGTTGACCAGGCCGGACCATAGGAGAGTGAGGCTTGGATTTCTTCACTATGTGCATCATGTTTCATCCATGTTTCATGTATGTTTCCATTTTTAGACACCGATACACCGATTCGACCTACTCCAGTTGACAGTTTACTCTCGCAGAACCTGTTTTGGGGCTTGGCTTTCCCAACAATCAATTTGAACTGGTGGGAAGATGTGAATCACGCCATTTTTGCGTATTGATGAGTGAGTGAAGGTCAGTGAGCCAGTGGAATCAAACAGTCTTTGGAGAATCTATACAGTCTATACCCATGTTCTACGTCACATAACAATGGGACACAGCCCTTTCAGGTCAATGTCAATGTCAACGCCAAGTGCTATAGATGTCCTCACCTCCTTTCTGCTCGTTTTAACCCCAGAACACCTGTCCACCCCCCCCGTTCTCCACGCCACCTGTCGGCCGAACTCGGCCGGCAACGCGAGGACGAGAGTTCGGAGCCCTCAGGGCCGAGAGGATGACTCCGTGCGGGAGTGGAAGGACTTCTTATCGGGTCGTGCCCCGGTGTTTGTTCTATTTTTGTTTTGTTTTGGTTTGGTTTGGTTTGGTGTGTTTGTTTGTTTGTTTGCTTGCTTGTTTGTTTATAAATAGTGTACTGTTGTTGCTGCTATTCTGTTTGGGTTTGCTGGGATGGACTCTATGGATACTGAAGGGGGAAACTGAGTGGGTACGTCACCGACTATCCAATGGACAAAGAGGAAAACTTGTAATCTGGTTGGCCACTCAGTAATGAAATGTAGACTCTACATTGTAAGATCCAAATAGATTGGTTTTATAATCAAGAGTCTACATTAACTATTCACAATCCTTTTGACATATAGGTAGACTATACTTGCTAGGTACATGTACTTCCATTTTGTCAGACAGGGCAAACACTTGGTGTCTCGGGCTCAAAACCTTTCAAAAGCATCGTATCATGAGACATCTCTCTTCGACCCTCCACTGTCACCCTCGCTTTGGACCCTCGCTTTGGTCCCCGGGTGCTGCGAGGTGACCAGCCCAAGCCTGAGAAGACCTCCGCCCAGCGTGCTTTGGAGCGCTCGCAGCGGATCCGAGACCCGGTGGTGACCCACCGGTCCATCGCCACCGCCGGAGGCGTCGGTCGGGTCCGGGGGTCGGTCGTTTCGTGTCCGGTTGGAGGTCCATCACCCGGAGAGGGTGACGTCATGGGTGTGACTTCATGGGGAATCATGGGGATGTTCTATCTGAAACTGGTAGGCTTAAACTATCTGAAACTGAATAGCTAGAAAGAAAACACCTCTGAAGGTGGCCGGGTGGTAGGAAGGTGCTTCGGCGATTGTCAATAGTTGACAAGAATCAATCGGGTTTGGCTCCAAGTGGCACCTACTAGGTTTGTATGTCAACATTTGTTCCTATTCTGAGGCAAGACAAAGTCTGGAGACGGCATGCAACAAAAAAGCGACACCATGGATGTGGAAGGCAGGGTTTCGGTCAAATATATGATCTACTCATTGCTGATGAGTCTTTCATGACACCTCAACAGTTGCTTCATGCATCCTAAGAAATGGAGAGATCGTGGAATATCCTGTTTCCTCTTCAGGGTGCTCCAGTACTCAGGCGATGTGCGCATGCCCGTCTTCCGTGCTCCGAGCGGACGCTGCTACTACGTCTCCCCACTGACCAACCGAGAGGTCACAGTGCCACTCTAAGCGCCCAAAAGCAGCGAGCAGCATGGCGCGTCATGTGTCATGCACCATGGCGTGGTGTAATGGGGTTTGTTTGACTTCAATCGAAGATTCCTACAACATGACATGTTAAGACTGTTAGGACTAGCGCAGCATATCTATATATATATATACATATATGTGGGTACTTCAAGGGGGGCTCCATGAATCAATTCGGACTCATTACACATGGCGGAGAGTTGAAACATGTTGTTTAAGACGTTTTGTTCGTCCCTGAACCGGAAGCTTTAGCAAACGATACAATAAAATAGATCTTGTGGAATCCTAAGGAGTTGTTTATTTGTGGGTTATGGGATTTCCTTTCCCCCACACACACACCCACACACACACTCCTGTATGTAATACTTACATTAGGATCATACATGAATGAAGTAAGTGTATGCAACAATTCTACACATGAATGGTTTGTTTTTTTTGGGCTGGTTTCCTTGCCTAATGCTCCCTTTGCCATGGCATGTAACCAACACAGCGATTGGTATTAGTGAATGCTCTCCAAAAATTGGACTTGCCTCGTTTTGCTTGGCCATTCTAGTGGAACTTGAAGATGTTGAATCAATCACACTGCGTTAGCGAGGCCGGGCCATCCATCAAAACATAAGATATAGTGCTGGCAGAGCCAAGTTGACCTCAGTATACTGATCGCATTTGGGTCTCACCCCCGTGCCTCTCCCACAACTTGCTCGACAGCTTCAGTCAAAGCTGAAAGGCTACCACTCAAGAGATATTGTCCGACACTCTCAAAATCCCAGAATCAGTTTGGCAGTGAGACAACGTCCGTGCCGTTGTCCAGATCAGCCAGATCATTCTGACCAGCCCAACATGGCCTGATGTTGCTAATTCACTCTCCTGGCTCAAGGATTGTACTCATGCTGATAGATGCGTGCATGATGCAGAGTTGAGGGTCGTGGCAGTATGGGGGCCTGTATAATTTCACATTTCATGGCTCATCAGTTAGTTGGAAAGCCGCCTTGAGCACTGACACGGATGTCGTTGAATGTGGAAACATCGCTACCACGAGCACCAGAGTACTTTTCCTCATGACCAGCTTCCCCATGAAACCTCACAGAGACCATTTTCCCATTCTCAAGTGGTCTTCCGAAGGGTTTGTCCAACCCGTTCATGAATCCACTGCCAGCCGAGAAGAGTTTCGATACAAATTTGGATGTGGGTGCTGGGGGGAGGTCAAGTGCCCTGAAATTCCATGAACCACTTTAACATCCAGTCCACTCCCCAGGAGTGTTAGGATCTCTTACCTCGGAGCATCTCGCCGGTCCCACGGCGAAAGCGACCGCATGGCCGCGTGGCGACCGGCCCAGGCGTTCGACGACCGTGGACGCCGGACGTGAGCGGAGTGACCGGAGTGACCAGGGACGGGAGGCATGACAAGTAAGGACTCAAGGACCAATTCCCAAGCACTTCATGGATGGCATATATCCGATATATCTACATTGGGGTGGTTGAAGTCGGTGTCAATGTATGTAAAATTATGTAAATATTCCAATCCCATGGTATATATAGGTCTACTTAGGATTCTATACAGGATATCTTAGGTAATATAGGTCTATATGGTATATAAAAAGCTCATGCAGCATATCTACACATGGTTTCTACACAAGTGACGGACGCGGTGCGTGCCGGCTCCAGAGACTTCCTTCGACGCACAGGTTCTTCGACGCACAAGGCCTGAGACGCAGGGCGCACTGGTCCTGGTTGGGTGCGGCTTGGTTCATTCATGTCCTGACCAAGGCGGTTCTCGTGGGATAAGGGGGTGGTTCATTGTGTCTCAAAGTGCAGTGCATGTGTATGATTCTTAATTCATGAGGAATCAACTGTAACCAGCAAAGTTCATCAACAGCTGTGAGGCATGAAGGGTTTGAGGCTTAAGGAGTATGGCAGGCCAACGTGTGATGCCTGTAGATCACAGCTAAGACCCAGCGTCATGTGATTTGTGCCCTGCTCCGACGTGTCTTTTATTGTTCCTATCCATGCATATCGACTATACAGAGACCAACACACATTGCACACATTGGACGAAGCGAGACTTCCTCTAAACATGTTTTTGTGATAAAGCGTGTTTTTTTGTTTAAACTGTTGTGGTTTGATGTTTTATGGACAGTTCAACAATATTGAGAGATGCACTTAATTAGGCAAGGTCAAGGTGATTTGCTGAGCAGGACTTCTAGCCTCCATGGTGAGGCTACAGCTCTCAAACCCAGGTGTTGTCAGAGGAGATGAGTGAGGGCAAGTGCAAAAAGGAAGCAGCTGACAACCAGTGGAAACTGCGTCAGGATTCTCAAGGGGGCTTGGGCTTGGGAAGCAGACAAACGACCCGGGTGAGTGAGCTGGATGCCGCAGGAGAGTCAGGGAGATTCGGCGGTCGACGTGAGTTTGGGTGGTTTCGGCCCGTCGAAGTGTCAGGCGGCGTGCCTTTCATCGCGTGTGGTGCTTAGGGGTGCAGAAAAGGGACCAGGAAGGCAGTGATGGAAGAGGGCGACTATGCAAGGCCGACTTGCCGCGATGGTTCGACAGATGAATCCAAAGGTGATCTAGAAGAGCCTAAATTAAGAGAGTGATCCATGGAAACCTCCCACATGCATGCACAGATTTATACAGATAATAAGGGCCCGCTGGGCACTGAACTGAAGAGGTGATGGATGGCTTTTTGCGCCTTGCTTCTTCGCGCTACAAGATATACTTTCGTTGGAAGGCTATGGCTATGCTACAAAGTCATACTAATGGATGTGAGCAAAAAGCTATTTATGGAAAAGGTTCCTGCCAGGAGTCACAAAAAAAGGGGATGGTGTTTGGTCCCATCCAGTGAGTGGATCATGGGAAACCCTTAAAGTTTCCTATTCAATTCAATGTTTGTTGCGGCCCAGTCCAGTTGCCCTAGCAAAACCCTTGGTAGGCGCCCTCACCTTGCTTTCCGCACGTGCTTTCCGGAGTGTGTTGGATCACCGGAACGAGGTCGCAAGACACTTCGGCTTCCAGGCAGAATTGCCCAACCTGGGTACAGTTGGGCTGGACTGGGTGATCTCACCCAGAAACCAGAGATCAAGAATACAATTAGGTTGGAGGCGCTATCAGGCTCTAAGAGATGATGCCGAACAGAATGACATGCGCTTCCATCGAGTGACGCTTTGAGATCCATGTGCTTGCAGACGTTGCACACTCTCACTATCCCTCACACCGCACGATCGCAGGTCAGTCGGGGGATGCTCAAAAAAACCATCCAACACTTCGTCCCAAGTGCTCGGTGGCTCCAGCGCGCCCCACGGCGCTTGCGCGCTCCGGCAGATTCACCACCACGGCGAAATCGCTCGCTCCGTAAACCTAGACCAGTTCAACCCGGAACCACGGTGGCTTGCTGGGAGGTGGCACCTGCTGTGAAGATCCTCGGGATCCCAGAGGCCAGAGGGGGGGGCGAAGGATGAATTGGACATCCAAACCCGACTTCGTCACCCAGGCATCAAACCTCCCGGACATCCCGGACATTCCATCAAACCTCCGCACGCGGTCACGTGGATCCTCAAAATGGCATTGTTGGAACCGAACAGTCCATGATCCTTAGGATTGTTTTTGCGGGGGTTGGTACAATATATATGTATTACGAGGCTTGTTGCGAATGATATACATGTCTCATCATATCTCCCTGCCAGTCTCCCTGCCCTTAAAGGGAGTCAAGGACTGCCCCAATAGACTGTCTGAACCAGCTTTCTTGGGCAAAAGAACACACATACCCTTGTTACTAGCAGCTTCTAGCTACTAGTAGCGATGCCCTTTGTTACTAGTAGCTTCTTGCTACTAGTAGTGATGCCAGGAGCTACTAGTAGCTTCTTGTTCCTATCATCAGTACACATCCATGTTTGGTGATTTGCAAGGACACCGACCTGCATAGACCTCATTTAAGATCTCCTGTGCTCTTGGAGCGGCTCAAGTCAAGAATGTACAGAGAACCGCCTAAACTGCAATATTGATTTGGATTCAGAATACGATTTGATTTGTAAAATTTGATGTTCTGAAATTTGTCAAACTTTCCAAGACTCGGAAATTTAGATTCTGGGAAATCCTACTACGGGATTTGATGGAACCTGTCACAAAAGGATCTAACAAATGGATCATGGGCATGGAAAGGCAACCGCAAACCACCCCAACTCTTGTAGCCTGTGAAATGGTTTGTCCTGTTTCTTCCTCGTCAGGTCCCTTAAGCCAATCCCAAGTACCTCTTCTTGCGCCACCTCTCGCGACCTCTCAGCCGCTGCTCGCTGCTTCACAGCCAGGCAGCGACCTGGAGCCCTGAGGAGGTGACGCTGGGTGGAGACTGGAGGATGAAGAGGTCCCCCAAGACAGAAAGCCTATGGCGTCAGGGTGGTACAAGGGTACATCATATAATAAGGTGTTTGTGTGCCCTTGTACCCCGTAGTGGCATAGGCATTTTTGGCTTGAAGTGTGGCCTGAAGTGTACGGCAAACAATTTGGAGGCCTTAGTTTGTCGAGGACAGATGACTGACACAGCTAGAAGATCGTTGGTTGTTTGATAGCATCCTTGGCCAGACCCACAAAATAAGTGCTTGTTGATGTGATATTTCTAGAGTGCAGCCCGGTACAGCGATGTTTGTCAGCCATGTTTCACAGGAGTTGCAGGGAAAACACACACACAATCAAATACTATAAATACATCGATCTATATATATACATACATGTTATAGGTGTTATGTATTGAATTCATCTAAGAAATACATATCGGGTATATGCAGGGGCGAGTCATATCTCACCTCCAGAGTCAGATCTTCTTCGGTCCCGTCGACTGCCGTACGTGGCCGTGGGAGTCGTCTGCAGGCGTCGCCGTGGCTTGCTGCGCCGCCCAGCTTCCAGGAGGCCGGTTTGGTCGTTCGCACCAGCGAGGGATGCCGCCAGGTTGAATTGAGTTACAAGACATAACGTGTATTTGTGTGTATTACATTTTAGCACA